CCTGCACGCTGTGATTGACGGGGCGTTGGCCTGTTGACTTGGCCCGCGGCCAGCCGCCTGGGCGCGCGCGCGGTGGCGGCGGCCTCGTAGGCTTTGGGCGAGGCCGCCACCCGGCCTGTCACAGCAGCTACCCATGGAGCTGCCGCCGCTCACCCCCATCGCAAGCATGCGTGCGCGCCCAGCCCATCAAAAGTGCCCTGACAAATGCTCCACTCGGCTCCTGTTGATGGGCCTCCCTAAGAAACATCGATTATCATCATCGGTCTTGAAATTCCCAGGTCAATGTCAAGATGGAGTACACGCGCAAGATCCAGCCGACTCCGGGTGCCGAGGGCCCCGCGGCCGGCGGCGAGGTGCGCTCGGTCGGGCTGCGGCGCGGGGCGGGGCGGCGCGCCGGGACGACGCGCTCGGCCAAGCTTGCCCTTGAGCATGCCGCGTCCCCCCTCCCCGCCGGTGCTGGCGCCCCTTGCGTGCGTTGTCCCCAAGGCTCACACGCACCTGCGATCTGCCGCGCGCCGCTGACCTGCGGCCCCTCAGGACCGCGTGCTGGCGTTCGGCAATGTCGAGCTGCTGGGCGCCAAGGAGGGCGAGGACAAGAACGCCGCAGAGATGGCCGTGGCGCGCGGGTGGGCTTGGGCGGGCAAGGCCGCGAGCGCTGGGCGGGGCGGGGCGGGGCGTGCCAGCCATCTGGGTGGCTTTGCAGGTCTTGTGCTAGCAGCAGCTGCAGGGGCCGCGCAGTTCAACGGACAGCTGCGTGCGGGGCGGAGCAGGCGCCGTTTGCATCTGTCAAATGCACCCACCTTTACCGTGCCGCAACCTTTCCGCCCGCCCCTGCTGCTCCCAACTCCCCGATCCCCCTCTGCTTCCTTCCATACTCGCCCCACCGCACCCTTTTCACGGACCCTACACACGCGCACCCACGCCCGCCGCCCCTGCCGCGCCCCAGTTTCGCGACCGTGATCCGCCACCGCACCGACGAGGAGCGCAGCAGCGTGTACGAGCGGCTGATCGAGCTGGAGGAGGCCGCCAAGACCGCCAAGAGGGGGCTGCACTCCAACAAGGCAAGCAAGCGGCATGGCGCCAACACAGCGCGCCGCCGGCAGCCCGGGAGGACAGTGCTTCACGGGACCGGCCGCATTGCCTGCTGGAGAAGGGCGCGGCGTGTGCCCGCAGGCTATGCAGCAACGGTCAAAAATTTGCAGGCAGCGTGGGGGCTGCGATTAGCATTGCCTGGACCTTCAGACATCTGCAATGGCCCCACTGGCTGAGAGTGATCCCGCGTACCGGGCCGGTCAAAACCTTGGACTTCTTGCCCGCTGTCCCCTCTCGCCGGCGCGCAGGAGGTGGCCGCGCCGCGCCTCAACGACGTGAGCCTGCCCGGCAACGCGGCGCGCGCCAAGCAGTACCTGCCGTTCTTCCAGCGCTCGGGGCGCGTGGCCGCCACGGTGGAGTACGTCCTGTCGGGCCACAGGCTCAAGGTGAGCCTTGGCCCAGGCCGCCTTGATCCTAGTTGCCCTCGGGCAGGGTGGGGGGCTGGGTAGCCCGCATGGGTTCGTGCTTGGCGAGGCGGTCAGCCTGTTTTTTTGGGGGGGGGGGACGCCCGGAGGGGGGGGCGTGCGAGGCTTTGGCAGCTCAGCGTCTGGGGGGTGCGTGGGCCTGTGGCTTTGCAGGGGAGCATCAGGGGGCCGCGCGCTGCACGGTAGCCGGCACGCCCACCGGGCGTCTCGTGTCCCCTCGCTGCCGCGTGCCCTTCCTCCCCTCATATCGCCACCAACCCCCGCGACCTCACTTTGCACTCAATATTCAATCAACCCCCGAAATCTCCGCAGCTGCACATCCCCAAGGAGGGCGTCTCCATTGCCTTCGCCCCCAGCGGCATCAAGACCCCCGCCCGCCCCCAGCC